TAATATTCTAATTTTCTGATATGATGAATTTGAGATTTTCATTTGTTGTCATTTGTAATCATCAAAATTAAACAAAATAAACATCTGAAATATATGAGTTTGTATGTAATGTATGAATATAATATACAAGTTTCACTTTTTAAATGGAATTACTGAAATCAATCTACTTTTTCATGATATTCTAATTTTATGACCAGCACCTGTATAGAAAATGAAACTATTGAGTAACTCTGAGTTACACACATGAAAACCATTGTTGGTTTGTTTAGTGAAAGAAAAACCAACAATGGTCACAGAAAATAAGCTGAATCAGACAAAATAAATATTTCTATGAAAATGAAGAAAGGATACTCTAAAAAGAATAAACTAATGAAAAGGGCTCGTGTGATGAGCACAATTCTTCAATAAAGATCCCAGAGAGCTTTATGAACACAAAGTAAACTTGTAACATTCCCTTTTATAGCTTAGCTGTTTGGACAAAACACTGCCTTCTGTAGAACTTGAACTTTGTTTAGGTGTTTGCTGAGTACACTAAAGTGTACATACGCCTTACTTAGTGTTCTTGCATTTCAAACACAAACGATGTATTGGATTATGTAACATGTCAAACAGGATTCACCTAAAATTACAAAAAGTTAATTAAATGACGTGCATAAAAACAATGTAGTACTGTAAAAGATCCTGAGGAAATACAGGCTTGGATATGCCTTCCCATTTTTATATTTGCACATCTTTAAACTTCATGCATTATTAACTATTCACTTTATAAATATACATTTTTATCTAGAATGTTTCTAAGAGGGAATGAGCTCCCCCTCTTCATTAGACAATCCTTTCACTGTCTATTTTTAAATGTCCTCTTAAAACCAATTTTTGTTCTTTGGCTTTTAATGCAGCTTGGAGCTCTTTCTCTTTTTGTGTGTGTGGTTTGTTTTACTGCTTTACTATTTGTTTTTATTTGCTTTAACTTAAGTATTTTGTTCTTATTTGTTTATTCTTATGATTTTTTTTATATCCGTTTAACTTTCATTTGTGTGTACAGCACTTTGTTGCTGCTGTGGTTGTTTTAAAGGGCTCTATAAATAAAGTTGCCTTAGTTTCCTTTAGTTACCTATTATATTAAAATTAAGTAAAATACATTAAAGGTCATTGTGACTGTATCTTTAAAAGTTAAGAATAAGAATGCAGGTAGTGTGTTTAAGTTGACTGGCTGTACTCTCTGTTAGAGATGGTGGTTCTTAGATGCCAAAACAAACTGAGTCATGATGCTTTTGACAAGAACTGCTGACTAAAAGTGTTTTTCTTAGGTGATCTTAATAAAAAAAGAAGGGAGTAGGAGGCCCAGTGTTTGCCCTGTCAGCTCTTTAAGCAGCAACATAACCCTTATCACAATGTCATGCTTGGAAACACTGTTCTATGTTCTGTTTACACATTTCATTTCTGAACTTTTTGCTTTTGGCCTTTTTTTGGCTGTTTTTTTATGTCTTGCTTCAGACCAGTTGACAAGGACATATTATTTATAATTAAGTAGTTCAAAGGTATTTAACTTGAAAATAAGAACTGTTGTTTTTTGGCATTATTTATTTATACTCAAGGAGTAGGAGAGGTTAGAACAAGTTCAAGAAGCAACACTCAGTGTTTCAGATCGAACCCCCACATCACACCTAGTCCCCTTTTTGAAGAGGTGTAGTGCATCTAAATTCAGCTAGACGAGTAAAGACCTTACATGCAACAGTAGGTTGTTGTGCAAACTTGTCTGAAAGATGTCTGCGGTTTCTTAGCTATTGTTGAGGCTATTTCTGTTCAACTCCCCTTGCTGACTTCCATGTTTACAGTCTGCTGTTCTTTTGAAAACATAAAATACAAAATGCGGCACTCTGTTTCAGCAAACCTAAGAACCAGTGGCAATTTCTCCTTGAATACTAAGGAGGCTACGCCTCTCCTATAAATTTTGTAAAATAATTTAGTCAGATACACATTTTTAAGCTTCAGATATGCAGTTGTTTAGCTGTGATAAATATGCGCTCAAAGGTGCTTGGTTTAAAGAGTATGTTGCACATTTATCAGCTGTTGAGCTGATGCAATCTCTCTTCCTCTTTGAAGCAGCAGGACGCTTCCTGTCAACCTCTATGAGAAATCACCATTGAGGCCCGACCTCTGTATATTGGGGTAAGCAGCAAGAAAGAAGGCTCTGATTGGATAACACACAAAAATAGGTCACTTCCAGTGAGGCTAAAACTAGGGATGCACGATATAATCAGCACCCTATCGGTATCGGCCTTAAAACTGAATATGGGACATCGGCCACCCCACCGATATTTAACCCGATATTTGATCAGCTTCTGAGTTTCTAAAGTCTAAAAAAAAAATAAAAAATACTACTTCTTCTTCTTCCTCAAAAACTTCTTTTTTACAGACTTAAAAACTTCTAAAGACGAGGGAAAAAATATTGATACATTAAAATATCACAATATCTTCATATGCTGATATATTACCATTTAAAAACACCATATTAATCTCTTTTACTAATGAAATATTGCTATATGTCATCGTTATGCTACGAAATCCCCCGAAAATTCACAAAATTTTGCCATATTTTTATATGTTGATATATTGACGCGGTATCGACCTATTTTACTAACAAAATCTCACAAGAATTTCCAAATATCATGAGAGTTTGTAACAAAACAATGAAATTTCACGAGATTTTGAAAGTAAAATAGATCGATACCGCGTTTTTAAAAATCAATTTGATATCAGCATATGAAAATACACTATATTGCCAAAAGTATTTGCTCACCCATCCAAATTATTGGAATCAGGTGTTCCAATCACTTCCATGGCCACAGGTGTATAAATTCAAGCACCTAGGCATGCAGACTGTTTTTACAAACATTTGTGAAAGAATGGGTCGCTCTCAGGAGCTCAGTGAATTCCAGCGTGGAACTGTGATAGGATGCCACCTGTGCAACAAATCCAGTCGTGAAATTTCCTCGCTCCTAAATATTCCACAGTCAACTGTCAGCTGTATTATAAGAAAATGGAAGTGTTTGGGAACGACAGCAACTCAGCCACGAAGTGGTAGGCCACGTAAACTGACGGAGCGGGGTCAGCGGATGCTGAAGCGCATAGTGCGAAGAGGTCGCCAACTTTCTGCAGAGTCAATCACTACAGACCTCCAAACTTCATGTGGCCTTCAGATTAGCTCAAGAACAGTGCGCAGAGAGCTTCATGGAATGGGTTTCATGGTCGAGCAGCTGCATCCAAGCCATACATCACCAAGTGCAATGCAAAGCGTCGGATGCGGTGGTGTAAAGCACGCCGCCACTGGACTCTAGAGCAGTGGAGACGCGTTCTCTGGAGTGACGAATCGCGCTTCTCCATCTGGCAATCTGATGGACGGGTCTGGGTTTGGCGGTTGCCAGGAGAACGGTACTTGTCTGACTGCATTGTGCCAAGTGTAAAGTTTGGTGGAGGGGGGATTATGGTGTGGGGTTGTTTTTCAGGAGCTGGGCTTGGCCCCTTAGTTCCAGTGAAAGGAACTCTGAATGCTTCAGCATACCAAGACATTTTGGACAATTCCATGCTCCCAACTTTGTGGGAACAGTTTGGAGCTGGCCCCTTCCTCTTCCAACATGACTGTGCACCAGTGCACAAAGCAAGGTCCATAAAGACATGGATGACAGAGTCTGGTGTGGATGAACTTGACTGGCCTGCACAGAGTCCTGACCTCAACCCGATAGAACACCTTTGGGATGAATTAGAGCGGAGACTGAGAGCCAGGCCTTCTCGTCCAACATCAGTGTGCGACCTCACAAATGCGCTTCTGGAAGAATGGTCAAAAATTCCCATAAACACACTCCTAAACCTTGTGGACAGCCTTCCCAGAAGAGTTGAAGCTGTTCTAGCTGCAAAGGGTGGACCGACGTCATATTGAACCCTATGGATTAGGAACGGGATGTCACTTAAGCTCATATGTGAGTCAAGGCAGGTGAGCAAATACTTTTGGCAATATAGTGTATATTTGAGTATATTATTTTTCAAAGTGTCAGAAATGGATAACAAAACTGCTATTTTCAATGACTACTTATTTTTGTCCAGCTTTAACATCGGTATCGATATCGGTTATCGGAGGAGTTTTAAAATATCGGCATATCGGATATCGTGCGTCCCTAGCTAAAACTCTTAGGGGGTCTATGGAGCAGGGGCGGGTCGTGGAGCTGGCTGCTCGATGTTGATTGGCGGAATGCCACTTCAGGTTTTTTGACTGACAGTGGCCAGAAAATGAGGTTTTTCCTCATGACATGAGAGGAAAAAGCAATCATTTAGTAAGAACAGTTGTCTTGCCGTGGTTTCTGGAGTTTATTATTTCAGAGTGCTACAGAACAGTTATTTTTTTACCGCTTTAGTAATGTTAATGGAATACTTTACATTAGGATTCCATTAACACTACTGAGCCTTCAGTGTTTCAGAAGGCAGTAGCCGCCGCTGCAAAAAAAAACCCTCTTGTGATTGGCTCAGGAACCAGGAAGTAAACACAGGCTACACAATGCAATGAAATATATTCTGACTGTACCACTAGTTTTGAAAGGAAAAAACACTTAACTAAAACATTGCTGATAGAGAGGACCGATTGTTTATTAGTAATTCTTTGATCCCGGGTGACAAATAGGAATGATTAAGGTTATTTTACAGTACATTTCTTTCATATTGATCCTAAGGTTTTTTTTATATTCTTTTGTTGAACTGATGAATTATTTTTGGTGTACTTTTTTGGTCCTTTGAGATGTTTAATATACATTAATCAGGAACAACTTGTGGTTTTCTGTTATAAATTATAATGCATCTATTTTTTTTTTATCTAATCTAGTGTTTACACATTTTAAAATCTGGACCCAGATCTTTTCTATATGTGGATTCTTTATTTTCTGTCTGTTTTGTATTTACTTTTTTCTCATCAGTCTCATGTGTTATAATATAATCTTTTTTTCCCACTTTAGGGTTTCCAAGATGAAAAAAAACAAGGCCAGGATTATCTTAGTTGTTGGAGCACTTTTCCTGTTGGTTCTCCACCTCTTCAGGTACTCGGATCACAGAACCTTCCAACGCCAGAAGAACACAGCAGGGAGTACTAAGCTAAAAGAGACAACTATCAAAAGCAAACCTTTTGTATACACCTGGCAAAAATGCCAGCGAAATGTGAATGCTGCAAACATCACAGGCTTTAAAGACCTCCCTCAGAATATCAAAGACTTTCTCTACTATCGTCACTGTCGACATTTCCCCATGCTGCTCGACCTCCCTGATAAATGCGGAGGAGCGGCGGAATCTGGAGCCGTTTTCCTTCTGCTGGTCATCAAGAGTTCCCCTGCAAACTACGAACGGCGAGAGGTGCTGCGGAAAACCTGGGCTAAAGAAAGGTTACACAACGGTGTGTGGATTCGAAGGATTTTCCTTTCTGGAGTATCAGGAACTGGTTATCAGAAAGAGAGATTAAACACTCTCCTTCAGCTGGAGCAAAAGCACCACAGAGATATACTCCAGTGGGACTTTAATGACTCGTTCTACAACCTCACTTTGAAGCAGATACTCTTCCTGGAATGGATGGAAAGAAACTGTCCGAATGCTCGCTTCCTTCTCAATGGTGACGACGATGTGTTTGCCAACACAAACAACATGGTTGTGTATCTCCAGAGCCTTGAGAAAAATAATGGGAGCCAGCATCTCTTCACCGGCCATCTGATCCAGAATGTGGGGCCCATCAGAGCATCAGGGAGCAAATATTTCATCCCAGTTCAGGTTCAAGAATCAAATTCATACCCTCCATACTGTGGTGGAGGAGGCTTCCTTCTGTCGGGGCATACAGCTATGATTATATACCAAATGTCCAAATCCATAGAGATTCTACCCATTGACGATGTTTTCATGGGGATGTGCCTCGCCAAAGCCGGACTTGGCCCGTCTTCACACATGGGAGTGAAGACAGCAGGGCTGCACATTCCCTCTGAAAAAGTAGATGAATACAGTCCATGTTATTATAAAGAAATGCTACTGGTTCACAGGTTCCTGCCGGCTCAGATGTACCTGATGTGGCACAGAATCGAGGACCCAAATCTAAAGTGTGGTGGCTCGTAGGAAACCCCCTAACAGAACTGAACATCTAATGCTTTATTTGGGTTCTGTTGGGCTGCTTTGAAAGACTTTTTTTTAAGATCCTGTTTGCTGAATATGAGCAAAGTATTTTGCATTTAGAATTTCAGCCATAAAATATGAAATGCAAGTGAAGCCAGTCATATTTTTGTACGTTTATTAGATGTTTAATTTGTGGCATGGAGGCTGGATCTATTAAGGAAACCCTGCCTTTTTAATCATTTACTTTTTCTTTTTTCTAAACTATACAAGCAGGTGACCAACATTAGGTCACATAATGTTAGCAAAGACAACAGAGGGATTTATTTTTGTATATTTATGTATTTCATTCTAACATGACAACAATAGATCCGGTGTGAGAGAGACGGCTAAAGAAGACGCTTCCTGCCTACAGCTATAAACACCTACAACACCTGTGGGTTACTGCAATATTTAATTCCCCTTTGGGATTAATAAAGTATTTTTGAATTTGAATTTAGTTGAATAGATTGGCTTTTCATTTGTGTTAAAATTCCTAATCACCCATTAGCTTTAAAGACTTTATCTAGAGTTAAAATAAAAAAGTGAGATCTAAGCTTTTCACTCAGGTAGTTTTTCCATTCACATGTTGCAGCTAATGCTAATATATTCATTTTTGAAGATAACTTAATTGACTGAACGTCAGTTGCTGAGATGAGAGAAATTATTTACCTGTTTCTTTGTTGAGAAAAGAAGCAAAGTTTAAAAGCATACGGAGAGCAGGCTGCTGTTCGCAAACGGCCTAATATGGAGGATCAAACAAATTGACAGGCTCAGGACGGTGTGCGGCCATTTGCTTGCTTAAACAGTGAAGTTAGTCTATACAGACTCGATGGTTTCCGTTTACAGGTGTTATGAAAAAAACTTATAGTTTCAAGATTGTTAATGATTCAGTTTTTGGGGACCGTACAAACAAGAGTTTATATTTTTAAGGCTTGGCACAGGTTGGGTCTAGATTTTGTTACAAAGATGTTTTAAAAAAAGATTTTTTTAGGCTCTAGTGGACTATATTTTTGTATTTTTCAAAAGTTTGCAGACAGGACATGGGATTAGAGAGAGAAGGGAAGACATGCGGCAAAGGTCACAAGGTCGCCACTGTAATTTGTGTCGGATACGTCGAGGACTAGACTTTGGCACGTAGGTCGTGTACTGAACCCCTGCACCTCCACCGCGCCCACGTGCAAAGGATCTAGTTAATGTATAAAGCACTGATGAGAGTTTTATTAGTCATTAGTCATGCAGAAGTACTTTGTAGTTTTTACAGAGGTTCTGAAACATTGTCACAACCCTGCAGAAATATTTGATCTTTAAAATTTTAAACTACTGCAGACACATACGTTCCATCTTTAATGTGAGATATAACTGGTTCTAGAACAATCAACATGCTAAAAAACAGGTATAGCTAAAATTTAACATTTAATTTAATTTAACATTTTTTGTTTTCCATCAGTTCCAAATAACCTAAATAAAATAAATGTACTAGAAATTTCAGCCTGGTCTTTCTGACATTTGGAGAAAGATAAATCCTAGTTTGCTTAGAGGTTGCCAGATGATGTCATTGTCCGAAAGATTACAAAAAGATATTCTGGATATTGTTCAAAAATATATGAAAACAACACAATGCATGATCTGAACACAAAGGTTTTCCATCAAGTTATTGACGGTAATTATCTAAATGTCACAGCAGTCTAGTATATTCCCAGAAGGTCTGGAGTAAGAAATTTGGCTACAAGATAAAAAAAAGTTTTCTGTAGAGAAAGCGCCATGGTGGAAAGTGAAATTATGAGTTATGATCTGCAGGAACCACTCTAACTCTGGGTCACTAAATTGTTACAGAAACCACTTTGAAAATTGAAAAAAAGAACATCCTACCTACAGAGAAAGGTGCTCTGTAGTTCATTTTCCAAAGTTGAAACTGCTGGATAAAATAGTGAACAGATCCTAACATAGTGTATTATCAAAACCAGCAGCTGTCTCTTACAAACCTGAAAATATAGTTATTTATATATATATATACTTTTTCTCTATCAATCTGAGTCTGGATCAATAAAGTCATACCTTTTTAAAAAAATAACAAAACTTTGGAATGGTTTAAGCCAACATTTCAGTAGAAAAACCAATAAAATATATCTGTAATTTTAAAAAAGGAATTTAAAAAAGGAATTAGAGAAGAATCTTTAAAACTTATTAATGTTTAAGGGATGGTGGGTACCTACTACTTAGTCAAGAAGTAAAACACTGATGAATTTAATTTCAGAATTTGCTAAAGGTAAATAACAGCAAATTAGCTAGCCATCAAGACAACAGCCAATGGTTGCTCTAATAAACATTAGCAGGGTCAGCCTAAGGAAGAGAGAGCATAGGGACTTTAACCTAAGATGAACTTCAGAGCTCTAGCAATGATAGAAAACAGTAGAAATTTCTTCTTTGAGCTTCTATTTGGATTTACATCAAAATGTGGAAAAAAACTGGTCAGTGAAAATTGAAACATTTATTCCTAAAGTAACTAAACACATTGTAAGGTCCTTCAGATCCTCAAATTGATTCTTAAAGCTACAGACAGTCCAATTATACGTGTTGACAGAAAAAAATAACTAAATAACCCCAGACACTATAACATATCTGGTGCCACGGAGCTTCCTTCTTTCTGTTCTGATTCTAATCATACAGCTCAGAGATGGAGTATTAACAAGAAATAAATTGTAATTAATAAAATGTACCTCTCATTAGAGATGACATTTTACCAGCAGTGCGTAAACACTGGTCCAGCTCCATCTTAATTATCTACTGCTTTGCAAATAAGGACCAGACCTCATTGTTTTTTTTAATTTTTACTTGGGGTGACCTTTTACATTAATCTTTATAGAATTAAATATATTTGGATTCTGTTTCATTTGTTTTCTGACCCTTGCTTTAAAACAACAGAAGTCAGGCCTGATATTGTTCCTGCAGCAGATGATCAGTATCTGAGAACCATAGAGATGTAAAGATATGATGTTCAGCTGACTGTCTGCCATAAGCCAACCTTTCCAATCATTACTTATTAAATGTCATCTGGTAAGTGAAAATTACAAGCATAGTATAAGCCTAAGACTTCATAGGGTAGGCTAAGGTTACTAGGGGGAAAAATCCTTTAAAAAAGGTTAGCAATATGAAGGATCTAAAATCCATTTAAAATAAAGGCATACAGGAAACTTGTTGATTCAGTGTTGATAACAATTACTGTACAACTTTCCAAGAAGGGAAGCCAAATAAATGGTTAAATTACTATGCAGTCATGATAAAATTATTAGACCAACATTATTTTTGTTGTTGTTGTGTTTTGTCATGGTCATTGTATTCTTTCAGTAATATACCTTTTCAATAGGGAAATGTATATGTTTCTGTCATAATTTCCTGGATTGTGGGATTTTGAAATGAAAAGATGACACAGTAAATTTATGCAACGGTGTATCATGAAAGCCAGGTTATATTGATTTAACAATAAGTAAATGTTAAAGTGTTTTCTTCAAAATAACTTGCTGGAAAGGATTAACAGGTCTGTGTCGTATATCAGTGTGAGGGTGTTTTTGAACTTAAAGTTACTGATTGGAGTAAACATTCTGCGTTGTCACATTCAATTTTATTTTAATGCGTGTCTCACAGTGTGTGCATATATATACAGTATGTGTGTGTGGGGGGGGGGGATTAAATGTTATTTCTACTATTAAAATTTTTTTGAATAAGCGTTTGTCTTTTGAGTGTAAGTCTCTACCGGTTTTGAAGACTTCAGACTGAATTTGTCTTGCCCAAGGACACAACGACACTGAAAGCCAGAGACAGGGCTTGAACTGACAACCCTCCAGTTGCAGGAAAAACTGTGGGTTGTCCATCGTCACTGTCTTCTCAGATTCGTTACTGGATTTAGGTCTAAATTTTGACTGGGCCATTCTAATGCATTAATATTATTTCATTCTTAGACATAAAATTTTAGCTCTGCCTGTTTTTTTTGTTTTTTTTTTATGATTTAACAGATAAAATTCCATCCCAGTCTCAAAACTATATACGCCTCTAAAAATCTTTCTTCTGGTATTGCCCTGAATTAACTTGATATATATTTCTGTTGATAAAATTATGCTGTAAAATGATAAGATGTTTTCACCACCCACGTTGTATACTTGAAAGAAAATTAGCATGCTTAGTTGAGATTGTTTTTTCAAAATGCAACAGTTCAGTTACCAAGGCAGAACTAAGTAAATATATCTGTATTTGATTACCTTCTGTTTGCTCACAGGACTTAAAGTCCATCCTTCTCAGATAAGGAAAAGGAACATTTCATAATTTTTGGTTGGTGACAAAGAAAACACTGTTTCATAGGGTAAAATACAATTATTTCATTTGTTTTAAATTTGTAAATCTGTCTACTCAAAATTCAGATTTTACATAAAGTAAATAAATAAGCCAAACATATAAAAAGATAAACCTGTTTTTGGGTTTGTTCTGCTCTTTAGTTCAGGTACAGCTGAAAAAGGTTTATGCAATTAGGTAAACATTATTGATTTTACTAGTGAAATTGCATGTAATTTATAGAGAATATATATATATATATATGTATATATGTGTATATACATATATATATATATATATATATATATATATATATATATATATATATATATATATATATATATATATATATATATATATATATATATATATATATATATATATATATATATATATAATAGCACCATCTAGTGCAAACTTAATGCCATCACACATTTATATATAGACATATATGTTACAAAAAATCATACATATACCAATAGATAAAAGCATGCAGTTTCATTGAATACATTTGCAATACAATTATTGTATAATTTTGCTAAATAAATCTATTTTGGCTATGAATTATATCATTTTGTCCTGTTTTTTTTTTTTTTTTTTTTTTTTATGGTGTCCTTGCAGTAATAGATAAATAAAGTTGAAGAATATAACGGACAATAAATAAATAAGGTAATTATTACAAAGGCAAATAAACAAAGAAGTTTATTAAAATAGATTTATATATTTATGTCTCACTGTATATTATTTGTTTATTTTATTTTTGGGTGGCATTTAATTGTATGCTTATTTATTTTTGGAGCATTTATTTATTTCTGTATTTTTAATTATGGC